GGGAATTCCTCATCGTCACATCTAAAACCTCTTAGTCTCTCACATACTCCATGTCATTTTCATGCATAAAAGTATAAAACATTATAAAAAAGGCCCTTCCCTGAAAACTTTTGCCCGATCAACTTCAAATTTGAATTGGATATCCACCCATCCTACACTCTAGGGTGTGGAAGCACCTTATATCATACCCAATTAAAATCGAGACATGAAGAAGTTAATTGATGTATGAGTTTTAAGATAAGGATAATTAGCTTATTTTATCTTAAAACTATTATCAAATTCACAAATTTATCCTATTCTTTGTCTTTTATCATAAAAAGACTTAAACTTCATCTTTTTCTTCAATTATGCTTTTTTTTTTTCAAAATTGTACATTCTTATCAATACCAATAAGATACAAGCAATAAAAGTTTCTAAACATAAAACTAGAAAGAAGTGAAAAAATATGAATTATAAATATGATATTCTTATTAAGTTTTGCTAATTCCTTCATTGAGAGAGTAATTGTGAGAATATTTGAAGTTTGAGTCTTTTTTTAATAAAAGTGAAAGTATAAGATAGATTTGTGAATTTGATGATACTTGAGGATATATTTAACTAATAATCCTTAAGATAAAACTAACTATGTAATTGTTATATATTGGTTTTTAACTATGATTATAAAAATGGTATTAAATAGACAGGATGAACAAATTAAGAAAGATGTGATAAAGATAATAAGACACATGAATACGCACCGTGGCGGAACGTGAATTTTTTTTAGGGGTGCTGAGAAATATACTTATACGCAGATGCGTATCCAGGGTGGGGGCAGCTTGCGTGAGTTTTGGAGAGTTCATTGCTTCGAACCTGGCCTCAAGTTTTTCTAAGTTTTGTGGTTATTTTGCTCTTTAAAGCCTTTTTTATCATCAAACGGGCCTCTATTCATATCAAAAGATTCAGGATCATTACATCAAGCAAAAGGAAAATAAAACTGACACCAACTGAAACTTCAACAACTACGACTGTAACCCTATGGTGAGACTTTGAGACGGTCACCCCTGAGAGAGCAACACGAATCGCTAACCATGTAGTGGGCTTGACACAGCCAAACCTATTCCCATAGATCCAACCATACCCAATGACATAAAGAGAGACAAAAAACTCTAACAAACCGTCAGAACCAACAACAAAAGTGGACACAAGAAAACAAATAACAAACAGATAAAAACTACAAGAAAAGCGTTCACGAACTCTAGCACCTCGTACATCACATGGTGGTGGTTCAGGAGGAGGTTGGCCCAAACTTGATTATATAATTCAAAAAAAACTCAATTTGATAACAATCCTGATCAAAACTTGTATGTATCCGCCCCTGGATCTAATAATCATACTTACATAGTTCTGGATCGGTCCAACACCAAAACAGATAATCACATTTTGGAATGCATTAATCACTTAGTTATCATTATTGATTCGATCTGCTACGTACTATTTCGAATTTTCCCCGAAAAAGTTTGAGGTGCACAAAAAAATAGATACATCCCCGGGCTACTTACACTCGACTCCTCTAGAAAAGAGAAAAAAGTCAAATAAAACTTTTTACTATTATACGGAGCAGAATCTTTACAAAAGAGTTGTGTACTCAATAAAGTGTCATATAAATACGTCAACTTATAAAAAGCAATCAAATGAGTCCTAACGATCCGTTGGCAACCTTCTAATCCCGATTTTAGCTTACACATCGTTATTAATTCCATGTATTAAAGCCAATTTTAGCTAAATATTCCACACCATCCTTAAAATCTTTTTTGAAAAGAGTCTGACATATGCTAAAATCATGATTAGGAGGTTGTCAAAAGGTCATTAAGACCCATTTGATTACTTTTAATAACTAGACGTATCTATATGACACTTTAGTGAGTACATGACCTTATGTGACGGTTTCATAATAGTAGAAGACCTTATTTGTCCCTTTTTCTCTTTAGAAAAAATTGATGAATTACTTCTTATCATATACTCCCTCGGTCCCATTAGATTTAACTTTCACTTTTTGTTTATGTGAAAAAGCTTTGCCACTTTGATATTAAAATAAGTTGTTGAATTTAAGTGCTGTAATGAAACGGCAAGTATTAACATAACTAATTTGTTATTCTGCTCAACTCTCTTTTTTCTACATAAATTTCAACCATACAATTTTACTTTTCTTATCTCTCACCTACTTTAAATTTAGCAAAGTCCACCGGGATAGTGATAACGCAGGAGAAGTGTACATTTTTGTGTAGGCGAAGAATAACTCTTTTTCCCACCCAACATTTGATTGTAAAGTATACTAATTGTATAATAATAATAATGATGTGGTAATTCGGAGCTGTGTGATCTATGATCGTGTATTCAAAGAATTGCTGTCACAGTCATGGCAGACCAAAGGTCACCAGCAATCCAGCTACGTCGAATCTGATGCTTCGCTCGTCCCAACACACCAAAATAAAAAACAATCCCCTAAAGTCAACTTTTCAAATTGTGATGAGGACGAGTGCCCCTTGCTCTCATATATACCAAAAATCCTTGATCACCCACTCTTATACCCATCATGTTTGTGGAAGTTTTTTTGTCTGCGAACACGGTTTATAGACAATATTTTGTTTGTGCAAAATATTGTCAGTGAGCCGGGGTTCACAAAAAAAACACTTCACAAACATAGGTGGATACAAAAGTGGGTATAAGAATGGATACAAAGATCATTTTTGCATATATACGGTGGCTGTCAAAATACTGTGAATAAGTACACATTTTTTGATACAACACTGTCAATAACACTGTTTTCGACTTCTCAGCCAATATTTTTACCAAACACGTTATTTTTGCTTTCGTACGTTCAATTGTGTAATAAGCAGAAAAAGTAATATTAGAGTTACTTTTCTGGCTGTATTGACTGAAATTACTGTACAATGTCATTTTAGCTATTTTACATATAATTTTATGTTTATTTTTATTAATAAAATATATTTTAAAAATATGTTTTTCTTAAATCAGTAGAATCAGCCAATGCAGTCACTTCAACTAGAATTTCATAAATTTCAAGTGGAATCAGTCAAATCAGTCAATTTTCATGCTACCAAACGGGCTCTTATTGTAAACAAACTAGTCTATTTTCATGCATAATTTGAATTAGTAGAAAAAGTAATTTATTTGTAAAAAGATCATCCAATTTTTCTATTCGTGGTAATGCATTGCGGAGTATATTTCTATTTCAAGTCATACACAATTCTGAAATCTAACCCATCAGGCCGTCACACCCATTCTCATCATTTCCCATCTTAAATAATGTTCTCGATCTAAATTGTATATATATATATATATATATATATATATATATATATATATATATATAGAGAGAGAAAACTTCATGTCAGGCCGGCCTGACGGGCTGCCCCGTCCGGCCGAGCCCGTTTGGGCACCTTCCCGGTGGAATTTTTTGATGAAATTTTTTGAGCATGTTCCTCATCAAGTCTAGTTTGTCCATACCAAATTTCAGCTCAAAATTCGTTCGGGAAGGTTGTCAAATGATTTTTGCAAGTTAACTGGTCCGGAATATGTATTTTCCGGACCAGTTAACTTGCAAAAATCATTTGACGACCTTCCCGATCGAATTTTGAGCTGAAATTTGGTATGGACAAACTAGACTTGATGAGGAACATGCTCAAAAAATTTCATCAAAAAATTCCACCGGGAAGGTGCCCAAACGGGCTCGGCCGGACGGGGCAGCCCGTCAGGCCGGACTGATGAGAACAGCCCTCTATATATATATATATATATATATATATAGAATAAAGATCAAATGAGAACGGTGCTTAACGTGAGAACCCGTGAGAACCCCTGAGAATGGTGATATTTTTGGCTGAAATTTTTTGTGTATGTTCCTCATCAAATCTAGTTCATCCATACCAAATTTGAACAAAAAATTCAATCGGGAAGGTCGTCAAATGATTTTTGAAAGAAAACTGGTCCGGAACATACATATAAAACGCAATTTTCTTTCAAAAAATCATTTGACGACCTTCCCAATTGATTTTTTTGCTCAAATTTGGTATGGATGAACTATACTTGATGAGGAACATACACAAAAAATTTCAACTAAAAATACCACCGGTTCTAAGGGTTCTCATGAGTTCTCATTTTAAGAGGGGTTCTCACTAGAACCCTCCCCTATATATATATATATATATATATATATACACACTCCATATATACGGAGTATAAATTTTAAAAAGTACTTATATATAGTTAGATGCATATATGTACTGATGACTCCACATAAATAATGTAGTTTTGTCTACCAAACCGGTAAAGTGATTAGCTAGCTTGACGCCATGACGAATTGAAGCTTCCTACATATCTTCGTTAAGATGTCTTCAATCAAATTGAAGATTTCCCCTTGACTTATCCATCATATATAGATTTAAAATCATTCGAAATATTTACAAATATCAAAGGGATAATTGTGTGATTGATACGGCAGAGATTGTGATGGAATAAAAAGTAAAGTAAAATAATTGGATGGTACGTGCACTAGCTAACATATCACTAAATTGTTGCACGGGTTTGAACTCAAATTTAATTTAGTGCCATAGTATTAGCCATATTGGCCTATTGAGTGTTATTGAGGAAGTCTTAGCACATTGATTGAGGTAGGTATTGTTTTTTTATCAAGAGGTTACAGATTTAAATTTTTGGAAACGGTCTCTTGTCAAGATTTAACAAGGGGGTTTTCTACATGAAGTTCAATAACATGATATTATTGCAAATTTTAAAACAATACTGTTGTTTTCAACCCCACCTGTATAACATACATATTTCAATGAAGTGTCTATCAACCAGAATTGTAGTTTGGGTGGCTTGAGTTGATGATTCCATCTTTCAATTATGTAGTTTCTTGGGCCCCTTTTTATTTGTGTCATCTATGTGTTTGTTTAAATGTCCACATGAATTGAACTAATATTTTGCTCTCAAACCTCTATTTATTACTTACCCTGTTTTATTTCAGCTTTTTAAAAAAATTCTCATGATATACAAAGTATTTTCTTTGCAATCTGTTTACATATTGAAAAGATAAGTTGTTTTGGTTGAGTTTTAGTTTCGTACAAAGATGTTAATCTCCTCTCTTTTATAAAGTTTACATTAGAAGTTATAAAGTTTCATAGACAAAATTTTATCTCCTATAAAAGTTATACTCAGTACAAGTTATGAAGTTTCAAAGATTTACATAGTTTTCTATTAGCTGATAATAGTATTCAAAGTAGCAGTTGCAAGAAGTCTCAATTTTTTTGCTTGCAAGTTGTATAATTGATTTTGAGTTTTTCAAATGATGCGAACTACATTTCTTGATAGAAGTTATGGTTCTCTGGGAGTGTGTTACAGTGTTTTCTTTTTACCTGGAAGCTTTAACGGTGATGGCGTTTATTTACAAGTCCAAACACTCTTGTTGAACATGTGAATTTTATTTGTGTACTTGCATTTCGATCTGGGGTCATCCAGTGATAATTTGGAAATGAATGACTCCATGATAGTTTTAGATAATTGAATTCTTTAAAGTTTGAAAGTCATGCCATGCTAGAATTATTTGTGTAGTGTGGTTTAATTTAGCGTTAAAATATGAAAGCATGTTGGTAATGCAAGGTCTTGTTTGAACCTGTTAGTTAACTACATGCTTAATTCAGGTTTTCATGTATTGATAAACTGTGCATTCCTTTATAAAATTTGTAATAGAGTCATTAATACGTTGAAATTCGAATCGTATTAGGCTGCTTTTTTAACTTGAACTCTCTTTTTAGACCTATGATAATCTGACATGTTTTAAAGCAATTCATCCTTTTTTGAGTTTCGTAGAAAATTCAAATTACACACAATTTTGCTAAAAGAAGGAAAAAAGCTCGGGTGTCCGGGTTACTGACCCACTTTTATTCCCTTAATTTGTTTGAACTTCATGTTAATAAAGGTTATTTCTTTATTTTTAAAAATATCCAACCTCTTTTTTCTGGGGAGCTTCTAATGATAAGAAAAAATATCACTGGGCCAATTGGGATAGCCTTTGTTTTCCAACTTAGGAAGGAGGATTGGGGGTCAGGTCTCTGGCCTCTCTGAATAAAGCTTTTGACTTTAAAATCTGGTGGAAATGGAAGACTGATGACTCCTTATGGGCAGACTTTATTAGGGCAAGATACAGGAGGGGGGAGAATATGGCTCCTAAAATCTATGATTCAGTAGTTTGGAGAAGGATTTGCCATATTCATGAAGAAGCTGCCTCACTATGTACCGTTGATAACACTGGTACTTTACTTTGGAATGAAGAGATCAAAGGTCATTTCACACTTAAGTCAGCTTATGAAGAAGCCAGAGTCAAACAAGATTCCACATTTACATTTAAACATATTTGGCATTCTCAACAGGAACTAAAGGTGAAGCTTCTTTTGTGGAAAATTATTAAAGGTCTTCTTCCTATTTCTGATCAGCTCAAAAGGTTTAAGATGGTCCTAGAACCATCAATGTGTGTTATGTGCAGGAATCACTCTGATAATCTTAACCATATCTTTTATCAATGTCATAATGTGAAACTGGTGTGGCACTATTTCATGAAGCTTTTTGAGATTTCTATCCCTCAAAGTGATAACATTGCCCAAGTTTTTAGAAATTGGTGGATGAAAGCAGGTACCAAAAATGTGATGGATATTTTTAAACATAACTTGCCGGGAATTATCAGCTGGCAAGTGTGGAAGGTCTACGCCAATCTAGTTTGGGGTAATCCATCAGGCAACACGGCTCCTTCTCCTAAAGGCCTTATATCTCAAATTAAGGCTTATACTCAAAATTGGGTACGGTCCTTTCCTAAATTACACAATAACTCTGTCAATAGCATCTTGAAGGAAGAACAGATAGTCACGTGGAATTTCCAAGCAAGAGGCAATTCATTACAGATAATTAGGTGGAGAAAACCGAATAATTGTTACAAAATGAACGTTGATGCGCGATACTTATCTGGAGAAGCTTCAGGAGGAGCAATTATTCGGAACTCTGAGGGAGACATGCTCTGGGCTACTTCTTTCCCACTAGCAGCTGTTAATTATCACGATTAGGCTAAGATAAACGATAAATTTAAAGCAAGAACACAAGAATTTACGTGGTTCACGCAATCGGTGTGATTACGCTAGTCCACGGCGAACGAGAGAGAGATGTATTATTATTCCAGCGTCTGGTGTGTTTTCAGATACATTAGGGATGTTTAAATAGGTTTAAGAAAGCCTAAATAAGGGTTAAGGCCGCAGGCCCAAAAATTAATCCCGTCATTAATTTTTCCCGTATACTCGATCGAGTATACATACATACTCGACCGAGTATAGATTCCAGAATTCTGCCCGAGTAATGTTTTTACACATACTCGACCGAGTATACCTCCATACTCGATCGAGTATAAACTCCAGAATATAACCCGAGTGCCCCTTACACGCATACTCGACCGAGTAATGATCAATACTCGATCGAGTGTAGAAACCAGGGAAATACTCGAGCCATCAAACACCTCATACCCGATCGGGTAACCCAACATACCCGATCGGGTATATACTCCTGCATTCCAAACAAGGCTCCATCTTCAACAATCTCCCACTTGGAGGCTTGTTCAACAGTCATCTGCCATCCAAGAACATGTATCCTCTGCAACACCCCTGATCTCTATCTCTCGTTCACACCTTCCCATCAAGTATCTGGAAGGCCAGTTGAAGCCATGCATAGCTTCAACTTCTCCGTTGTCACCACCTTGGTAAGCATGTCTGCTGGATTCTTCGTACCAAGGATCTTCTTCAAGTTTATGATACCGTCTTCAATCAACTCTCGGATAAAATGGTATCGCATCTTGATGTGTTTCGTTCTGCTGTGAAACACTGGATTCTTCGCGAGGTGAATGGCACTCTGGTTGTCACAGTGCAGTCCGCAATCCCCCTGTTCCATGCCCAACTCCGAAAGAAAGTTCTTCAACCAGATCAACTCTTTGGCCGCTTCAGCAATGGCCATATACTCTGCTTCTGTGGTCGAAAGAGCCACACTCTTTTGAAGTCTAGACATCCAACTGATCGCCGTACCTCCAATTGTGAATATGTAACCCGTAGTGCTCTTCCCGGAATCACAACAGCCCCCCAAATCAGCATCAGCAAATCCTTCTAGAATTACTCCATTCCTCCTGAAACAAAGAGCAGTTCCAGAAGTGCCTTTCAAGTAGCGTAGCAGCCACTTGACTCCTTCCCAATGTTCCTTCCCTGGATTCGACATGAACCTGCTAACAACTCCCACTGCATGAGCAATGTCCGGCCTTGTTGACACCATTGCGTACATCAAGCTGCCAACGGCTGATGCATAAGGGACTTTAGCCATCTCATCTTTGTCTTCATTGGTCTTTGGAGACTGCTGCTTGGAGAGTTTCAGCTGACTCCCTAAAGGTGTACTCCTTGGCTTGGCATCCGTCATTCTGAACTTCTCAAGGACTTTCTGAATGTACTTCTGCTGTGAAAGCTTTAAAGTACCTTCCACCTTGTCTCTGACTATGCTCATCCCAAGAATCTGTCTCGCCTCCCCTAAATCCTTCATCTCAAATTCTTCGGACAACTTCTTCTTGAGCTTGTTGATCTCCTGCATGTTTGATCCAGCCACCAACATATCATCAACATACAAAAGAAGAATAATGTATGATGACTCGAATTTCTTCAAGTAACAGCAATGGTCCATCTTGCATCTAGTGTACCCATTCCGCTGCATAAAACTATCAAACTTCAAGTACCACTGTCTAGGAGCTTGCTTCAGTCCGTATAGACTCTTCTTGAGTTTGCACACCAATCTCTCCTTGCCACTCACTGGGAAACCTACTGGTTGAGCCATGTAAATGTCTTCTTCAAGGTTGCCATGAAGAAAAGCAGTCTTCACATCCAGCTGCTCCAAGTGTAAATTTTCAGCTGCAACGATACCAAGAATCAAGCTGATAGTAGTCATCTTCACAACCGGGGAGAAGATTTCATTGTAGTCAACCCCCTTCTTCTGTTGGAACCCCTTGACAACTAGCCTGGCCTTGTATCTTTTGCTCCCATCTGCTTCATCTTTGATTCTGAAAACCCACTTGTTCTCCAATGCTTTCTTTCCCGGTGGTAACTTGACTAAGGACCAAGTTTGGTTCTTGTCAAGTGAATCTAACTCATCTTCCATGGCCTTCTTCCACTGTATGGAATCTCTCACAGCCAACGCCTCTGAGTAAGATTCTGGCTCTCCATTCTCGGTCAGCAATAGATAATTTGCTGAAGGAGAATACCTGTTAGGAGGTCTCCTGATTCTGGTGGACTGTCTGATGTGTGGAGTAGCTGCCTCTGAACTCCCACTGTCTTCATCACTCCCACTGTCTTCAGACATTCCTGTATCTCCTGAGCTCCCACTGCTCCCTGAGCCTCCAGCCGTCTCATCACAACCGACCGGTTGTGCTATGTCATCTTCAGTCATCCCTTCAAACACCACTTGCTGTTTGTTTTCTGGTTGCTTGCCTTTGCTTGTTCCTGCTGCAAGACCATCTTTATAAAGAGCATTCTCGTTGAAGGTGACATCTCTACTTCTGATAACCTTCTTGCTTTGGTTGTCCCAGAACCTGTAGCCCATGTCATCCGACCCGTACCCAATAAAGATACACCTCTTTGCCTTTGCCTCAAGCTTGTCACTATCTGCATCTCTGACTTTGACATAAGAAATACAACCAAAAACTTTCAAGTGATTAAGAGATACCTCACGACCTTTCCATTCCTCTTCTGGAATTTTGAAACCAATGGGAGATGAGGGTCCTCTGTTGATCAAGTATGCTACTGTGTTCACTGCATCGGCCCAGAACATCTTGGGAAGTCCTGCATGCAATCTCATGCTTCTGGCCCTCTCATTCAATGTTCTGTTCATCCTCTCTGCAACACCATTTTGCTGTGGTGTTTCTGGAACCGTCTTCAGCATTCTGATCCCCTGTTCAGCACAATACTCTACAAACTCTGTGCTACTATACTCACCCCCATTATCACTCTTTAAACACTTAATTTTGAGATTTGTTTCATTCTCAACAGCAGCTTTGAACTTCTTAAAAGTGTTAAAGACGTCGGATTTATTTTTAAGAAAATAAACCCATACCTTCCGTGTAGAGTCATCAATGAATGTAACATAGTAGCGGGAACCTCCAATTGAAGAGACCTTTGTAGGTCCATAGACATCTGAATGAATCAACTCCAGCCGCTCAGTCTTGGGTTGTTGTCCTGTCTTCACAAAAGTTACCCTCTTTTGTTTGCCTAGAACACATGGCTCACAAAAGGTCAACTTTGAATTCTTCAAATATGGGATTTTGCCCTTTGAAGACAACATCTTCACTCCATTCTCACTTATGTGCCCAAGTCTTTGATGCCATAAAGTAGAGATCCCTGTATCTTCAACTGCTGCGTTTGCTCCATCTGTAGACACTTCAACCATGTACAGTGTACCATGCTTTTGCCCACGAGCAATGACCAGCTTTCCCTTTGTTACCTTCCATTGCTTGTTGCCAAAACTAACGTTATGGCCTTCCTCATCAAGCTGTCCTACTGAGATCAACATCTTCTTCAGGTCTGGAATATACCTGACATCTTTCAGCCTCCAGGTTGTACCCAAAGTGGTACTGAGATCAACATCCCCAATACCCGTGATCTCCAGGGATTTATCATCCGCCAAGCGAACTCTTCCGCCGTAGGGCCTGAAATTTTTCATCAAATCCCTGCAATGACAAGCATGAAACGACGCACCTGAATCCATGATCCAGGACTCAACTGAATTCTCAACGCTGCAAATTAGAACATCTTCATAATCCTCTGCCACATTCACCTCCTTCTTGCCTTTGTCTGCTGGGGCTTTTGGGCACTGATTTCTGAAGTGTCCATTCTCCTTGCAATTCCAACAATTGATGTCCTTCCTGTTCTTGGATTGACCCCTCTTCCTCGACTTTGATCTTCCCTTCTTGTTACCCCCTTTAGTGGATTTTCTGCCCCTGTCTTCAGTACTCAACAAACTATTGGAGCTATCCCCCGAACTTCTCCTCTGGATATCCTCACCAAGGATTAAGTCACGAATACCTTCAAAGGTAAGCTTAGTGGTTCCAGCCGAACTACTAACTGCTGTGACTGTACCGGACCAACTATCGGGCAAAGATGATAACAAAAGTAGTGCTTGAACTTCATCATCGAATTTAATCTCAACCGAGCCTAACCTGGATATGATTAAATTAAACTCGTTGATGTGATCTGTCACGGATACACCTTCCTTCATTCTTGTATTCACCAACTGTCTGATTAAGAAAACCTTGTTGGCCGCTGAGGGTTTCTCGTACATGTTGGATAACGCCTTGAGCAGTCCAAACGTTGTCTTCTCGTTGACGATGTTGTAAGCAACATTTTTCGCCAACGACAACCTCACCACACCAAGAGCCTGTCGGTCCAACAAGTTCCATTCCGCCTCCGCCATCGTCTCTGGTTTGTTCTCAGACAAGGGTAGATGAAGCTTTTTCTGGTAGAGATAATCCTCGATTTGCATCTTCCAGAAAGCGAAATCTTGACCATCAAATTTATCGATCTTAACCTTCCCTTCGTCAGCCATAGCTCTGATACCAGTTGTTAATTATCACGATTAGGCTAAGATAAACGATAAATTTAAAGCAAGAACACAAGAATTTACGTGGTTCACGCAATCGGTGTGATTACGCTAGTCCACGGCGAACGAGAGAGAGATGTATTATTATTCCAGCGTCTGGTGTGTTTTCAGATACATTAGGGATGTTTAAATAGGTTTAAGAAAGCCTAAATAAGGGTTAAGGCCGCAGGCCCAAAAATTAATCCCGTCATTAATTTTTCCCGTATACTCGATCGAGTATACATACATACTCGACCGAGTATAGATTCCAGAATTCTGCCCGAGTAATGTTTTTACACATACTCGACCGAGTATACCTCCATACTCGATCGAGTATAAACTCCAGAATATAACCCGAGTGCCCCTTACACGCATACTCGACCGAGTAATGATCAATACTCGATCGAGTGTAGAAACCAGGGAAATACTCGAGCCATCAAACACCTCATACCCGATCGGGTAACCCAACATACCCGATCGGGTATATACTCCTGCATTCCAAACAAGGCTCCATCTTCAACAGCAGCTTCGTCTCCGGTAGAAGCTGAACTAAAATCATTGGCAGAGGCGATTCGTAGTGCTGTGGAAGATGGCTTCGAAGGATTTCAGGTGGAGTCTGATTCGGCTTTGGCTATGATAAACGATAGAGAGGCTCGGTGTTGGTCTGATC